AACAAGACCTTGTGTCACATCACACCTTTCTTTGACTTGACTTTGTTGGAAAGTGTGCAGCCTTGTAGAGAGTTACGAACTGGCGAATTGCTAACTCTTTTGATCCACCAAGGTCTAGTAACTGACTCAGTTGAAGAGGAATAATCTGTATTGAGTTTGACTTGAACCCGCAGTGGCAGTGACATGTCAGATCCATAATCCGTGGCGGTTGCATTCCAGTCAAGGGGGAACAAAGGGAGAGAGACTTGAAGGCGATGTGAAGGCTGATGGATAAAGGCAAAAGGCAAGAGACAAGGCTTAGGTGATTCAACCTGATTCAACTTGATCTGTAACGAAAGAAGCTTGAGACCATGTCGTTGGTGTCATAGACAAAGACGGTGAAGACAAAATGCCACAGTTTCTTGGGAATTCCAGGAGATCCCTTGCTCGTACCCGCCGTTGCAGCGCCATTGCGAGTGGGCGATGGAGCAACGGAGCGATACACCTCCCGGCGTTCTATTTCTATTGCCGCCTCTAGGTCGCCAAGGAGGACGTACGTATCTGTAGTAAGCTGAGACGCAGCAAGCAATGGAAACTTTAGAAATCGTCTAGCGATCAGAGTATCAGTGGAAGATCTCAGGGGGCAAGCCGCGAAGCCTGGAGGCCCGGGGGGGTTAGCGAAAGCGAGAGGAGAAAGGCGAGGAAACCTAAGGAGAATCAAGTTTGGGACAGGCAGTTTACAGTTGCAGTCACGGCAGTTGGTGGAAGGCTGGCCCCTGCGTTTAAGGAGCGAGTCTGGTGATGACGACGATGCACAAGGTACAAGGCGATGGATGCGAACTGTCGCATGGTTAATTAGTGCTGTTGTTGTTGAAGCGAGTGGGATGGATTGGATTGGATCTCGTGAGGTGAGTATTTCCACGGCCTAACATCGGCAAACATCCTTCCCATCCGCCGGGAATTTGAGTTGATAGACGACGGGTAGATTAACGCAGGCTGATTCTTCCCTATTCAAGCAACACGACACGATCCAAGACAAGAAGAAGTTGGCCGATGAGATTGGGGCAGGTATCCATCCGTAGGTAAGGTACGGAGTAGGGATAACCCATCTATAATCCGTCCAGACTATAGACTACAGACCGAGATGGACGGACGAGTCTGCGAACTGTTAATTTAGGGACTATACTATACGGCTGACAAAGGAGCCAGGCGTTGATCACGGGCAGTCTGCAATTAAAGCAAAGACCATAAACAAACATGGATACCGCATTATGACTCTGCAATACCGAGAGGTTTCAGCAGGCTTCATCCTGTTAAACCGCGTGCTATGGATGGATGCTATTACAGTACTATTATAGCGGGCTGTCATGGGCCGTTTGTGGATGCGTCCAGTTTACGGCAGTGAGAGAGATGGAGATGGATGGGGGTGGATAGGGAATGGTTAGAGGGGGGGCGTGTGGCCCAGCGGCGCGGGGCGGGGATCTCCCAGCAGTAACAGGGGACAGATCTACCCTGGGCAAGCCTGGAAAAACCACACAGACACACACCACACCTCGTACCCTAGTCCCCTTGATACCCTGGGTCTGGCTGGGCCTGGGGCACCTTGAAAGTTCCCAGTTGCCCTTGAGCCTTGAGCAGGCTAGGTTCTCACCCACTGCGATGGGTGTTTGGCTTTTGTGCCCCTTCTGGGTTTAGGCCCAGCACCCTTGGGAATCTACATGCATGCACAAGCGCACTCGGAGCCGGAGTAGGTGTGTTCTTATCATCAAACGTCTCGTCTGTCTGTCTGGGGCGTCAATCAATCCTCACCCTCGGGAACTCACAAATCATGAATGAGTGAGGGCACCAGGGATTTGATTTGGTTTATTATTTGGATGCCTAAATTATATCGTAGATACCCATGCGACACATCGGGATGCACCCTCATATCTTGCCTCTAATCCGTCCCCCTAGAGTATATGCAGACCATTTATTCCCTTCTGTGTCTTCTCTAAACAATAAAAACACGTACGTACCTATAATCCGTAGATCTCATCATATCCCACTGCTTCGGTCCTCTAGCAAGCATCACCCTGGGAGAAACAAACGAAGCCCTGCCATTTACGCTCTTCCTCCTTCAACCTTCCCCCTTGCGCCCGTTATAACTTCTTAGCCAAAGGAACCATTGGAAAGTTCCCCGCTCCACGAGGAATGGAGAACAACAACGAACGGCCCCTCTCCAAGAAAAAAACGTGGCCGTGATGGGATCCCCTCCCCTCCGGAGCAGTTGATAAACCCGTCGCTTTTCAACACCAGGGGGAAACCTTGGAAGTCAAAGCGTATTCGTAGAAGGATTGTAGAAGGAAAACCAAGTTTCTTTCGCATTTCCTATCTTGTTCTACTTTGCGAATATCCAGTGCGCGTGCGTGAGTGCATATGCTCGTGCATGTTTATGCAATTACGGATCTGCCGTATTTGTTCATGTGTTGACGTCTGTGAGTCTGTGACCACTTGACACGTGCGTGTGCGCGCGCCAAAGCATTGAGGCTATCGTCAGGTTCAGCCCCGGCGATCAGATCAATCGAGCCTCCCCCAGGCCCGAGCAGTCGAGGCGGTAAAGGTAAAGGCAAAGGGTTCAGCTCCGTTGCAGGTAAAACTCACACTAGAAACTGCAGCAGTCATATCATTGTTCTTCCTCTGGTCTGTGCCACTCTCGCTGGCTGTCTGCTCCCAAACCACTAACTAGCTACTAACTAATGGAACCTAACTAACCTAACTAAAAGCAACAGCACAAAAAGAATACTCCGTAACTACGGATAGGTACTACTCATACTCACTGACATTAGTCTACGAGATTACCGCTAGCGGATCTGCGCCATGCTTCGTTAGGAATCCTTTTCGCGGTGCCCCTTAAGGTCGGGTACTTAGGTAATTCCCCCAGAACAAGCCCAGTCCAGCCGAGATGTCAAAAAAGTTACAAGTTACAAGTTACAGTTTTGCGTTTTACCTGGGAGTTATTTACTCCGATGCTAGTGAATCATTAGCCGCTTGTCTCAGGCGAGATAGCGTATCCGTTCGTCACTCAGTCAATCAATCAGTCACTGATATAATAGTTATTGTGACTAAGCTTTTTTTCCCCCTTTGACGATCTACATTAATTGTGCATGACATTTGTTTTGTCTGGTTACATTCAGCTTTTGTTTATCCGTACATGCTCATCTCTCCCTCGGTGCTACTGCTCTGTGATGGTAGGATGGGATGGGCAATGTAACAGTGTCCAGTCCATTGTCCGTACCAGGCCCTTGTCAATGATCCAACCAGTCGATCATTCAAGCCCTTGTCCCAGTCCATCAAATACCTTGCCCTTGCCCTTGTCCTAGACACAGACAGACACAGACCAGAAAAAGACACGAGGCAGGGCGGAGTAACAACCCGAACCGGTCCGCCCAGCCTTGACATGAACATGAGGAACCCCCAACCCCAGGTTTACCCCTACCAGTGTAAACTCGTAAATTCCCCTTTGGGTTCGTTCTCGTGCCCTTCGTCTTATTCGACGCGATGCGATACGCTGCGGTGCGATGTGATGCGATGTGATGCGATGCGACACGATGCCACGCCGTCCAATCTTGTCTTCCATGTCATCCATCGACAAAGGAACCCAATCTCTCGGGGCTCTTTTTATTTTTATTTTAGCCTCTGGTCCAGGGGATCTCCCTCAACTGTAACCGTACGGATACTACCTCGTGCGTAATCATCTCCGCGCGAGTCAACGACGTCACTTCGCTCGAAAACATGGGACAATCCCTTTGACTGAATGAGTGTCAAATATGTGGGTGTGTGTGAGAGGGACAGGGAGAAAGACAGACAGAGACATGACCCGTTAATCCAGGCAAGGCCGTTGGTTCCTGCTTGTTGGTAGTGACCGTTGAGCATGCAGACGTGGATAATGTCATCAATCAGAATAGGTAGGTCGGAAAGTAATTACTTGCAGCTACGGATACAGGGAGGGAGGTTGGCCTCCTCTGCCTACTAACCCTCTGCCTTCTACGGCTCTACCTCAATAACCGGTGATCACCTCAGCAGCCAAGACGTAGGATTTCCCCCCTCCCTAACCAATCAAATCCCATTTATATCGTGGTGTCTCACTTCCCAAACCAACAGCCTCTGATCTGTCTGTTTACGTCGAGTTGAGGCAACGAGTCCCTAGATTTACACAGCATATTCAACCGTTCGTTCCTTGTCCTTCCTCCATCTCCCGTTATTTTATCCATGTATCCGTACTTTGTATCCGTACTTCGTACTTCGTACCTCACGCATACATACAAATCTTCCCATTTCGGACTTCTCCTTGTTTTTCCATTGGCCCACGTACGATTAAAAGCCGAGATATCGGCCAAGCATTGCACCGACCTAATTTGCCATGCTGCTACCTATCACTTTTTGTTCAGCAGGGATTCAAGTTTCACATCTCCCGTCAGTGCTTTTCTGTTCTCCATTGTGTTTAGGTTGGGGGGTCTTGTAATATTTTGATATTCGAGGCTCAATGGCCTTTCTCGCCCTAGGCGAATCCGCCTTTCGCTATGTGTCGACCGCCTTTCGGTCGATGTTTCTTCCACAGTAATAAAAAAAAAGTAGTAAACTAAACGCCTTGCAAGATGCTTCGCTAGGTTCTCAAGCCAGTTTCCAGCTCTGCGCCGTCTAAAATGACAATGGGTCCTCCCATAAAATAAAAAACAGGCAATTGGCAAATTCCTCTGGAGAAAAAGCAAATGATACCATGATACACCAAACTTCCAGTAATACAGACATCGTCGTGAAGCGAATGTAGCTTTTTCTTCCCTTCCACCTTTTCCCAATCGACCGTTACGCCGAGCCAGTGAATCCTCATGCACAGGTTTAACCGGGTTCCCATAAGATACTATAGATCGAGTCTTTCGACATCGTATCAGAGAAGCGCTCGTCCAATTAGGCGTCGTTGTCTCGGGTCATCCCTGAAAGTCGTGCCTCGTCGTAGAGCCGTCTCGTCGTGCAGAATATATCCCTCAACCGCGAATCACTGATCCATTAAACTCAAAACTGTGGCATCCCCGCTCATGACGCTTCATATTGCTGCGTACACTGAATGCCTTACCACACCCGGAGTGGGGGCACTTGAAAGGCTTCTCTCCGGTATGGGAGTGGCTGTGAATTCGAAGACTGCTAGGTCGACTGAATGCCTTATTGCAAGTCGGGCAAATGTAGCGATCCTGACTCTGGGGGAAAGCGGCAGCACCAGTTGGGTTAAGGTAGTGATGATGTTGCCAAGGGTTGGATCCGGACGGAGAAGGTGCCGGCATGGTCACAGGAGGAGGGTATGCTTGCGGGAGAGGGCGCTGGTAATACGGGTTCATCTCCGCAGGCTGGGCAACAACGGGAGGTTGCACCGCTGGATAATAGCTACCAACTGGTGGTGGTGGGTTGTTATATGCTGAGGGATGAGGCTGGTGAGTGTAAGGAGCAGGGGCGGGAGGCGTCACTCGAGGAATAGCCGCAACTGGTGCCTGCCGGTGTGCATCGGCTTCTAGTGGTGGCGTGGTCTCGTAGTAGTATGGTCTGGGAGCTGAGCCTGGATATGTCTGGTTGGATGTTTTCCTTGGAGGCGAGCTGTAGCCTTCAAATGAGGCATCTGTGCTCATAGGTGGTGTGGGGGGTAGCCCGCGGTGTGATGACTTGGCCCATTCTGATCCAGATCGATTGTGTGAATGAGGAACTGTAAAGATGTGAGTGAACCACTCGTGTGGAAACAGTGATGGGAGTTACTGACCCTCAAAGCGAGGAGAATGCTGCCTTGAAATAGGTGAAGACTCACTCGTGGGTGAGCCAGCGTCGGCCAAACCCAGTAGGTTCGAGATCGAAGGTAGAGAGCACTTTTGTTCCTCCATTGGGGGCGAAGGAGGCGGGTGCGGGTGATGTCGAGTGATAAAGTGTGTTTGTTGTTGCGAAGTGTATTGGTTAGGCATAGAAGATGCGGTAACTCTATGCATTTGCGGGTTGTCTCGGGATTAACGAGGCTTTGCGAAATGGACGTAAAGGTAATCGAAGCAGTTAAGCCGATTCACCAGTGTATTAGACAAGTAAAATGCCGTAGTTGGTAGAGTTTGGTGATATTAAAGTTTGGATGAGGAGGAGGCACTGATGATGATTAATAGAGGCTTATTGAGCTTTCAAAGTCGTGTTCGAGATGAAGAGTTCTTAGAAGCTCTTGCTAAATGCGAGGAGACGGGGGCTTGGGGACTTAAGTAAGTCTTTGGTGTGGGAGAACATGTCAAAGGGTGGAGGAGACCCGTCTATCAGATCTGAAGACCGTGGACATGTTTTCATGGGCCTACGCCCCCTCCAAAAGGACCTCTCAAGCGCAGCTGTCACAAATTGGGAGTGGAGCCCTACCGACGCACCATATCCTGGGACTGAAGGGGAATCGTCGACAATAGCAACAACAGCACCAGGAGAAGGAGCACAGGACAGGGTCGCAAAGGCGACGATTGGCAAGGGTAAGGGCTGAAGCATGCTGACGGGAGGTTCCCTGACGCCGCTCGATGGGTCTAACCTCTTGAGATTGTGTTGAACATCTGTCCCGGCAGTGACGTCCCCACTGATTGAGGAAATGCTGTGACGACTCTGATGGTGATCTTTGAACAGGGGAGGGGCGGTTTGCATGTCTGTCTTGGGTCGAGGGGTGTGGGATACCGACATGAGAGAGTGAGGGTGCGTATCCCTAGCGCTCGGTCTCTCTGGTGTGAGTGGGTGTGCTTGAGATCCATGAGAGAGAGAGTGTGTGTGCTAGAATGCTTGGCCATGCGCCAGGATTACCGTGGATCGCCCCGTGGTCAAACGGTCGATAGGCTGGCACATGTACCGCGGTACGTACACACACCACAGAGCATCGAGTATCGCTGCAATATGTGAATCGTTAACCTTGTTCCCTGAACATGGCTTTCGTGGGGTCTCATTTGCTTGAGTCGATGGCATCGAAGACGGTTGCATGCACCCCCTGGCTTGAACGGCCGTGCCCTTTCCGCTCCAAAATCTCTAACCTCTCACTCATCACAATGGATCGTGCATTAAGTTCGCCGAACAAGGCGGTAGTGGTTGTGCGTTGTGACCTTAGCCCCAAACCCAGTAGAAGTCGTTTTCCGGCGCCGGGAATTGCAAGCGCCCGGCCGAGATAGGGCGTCTTCCTAATCCTTGACCAAGAGTGCCATCCCGGACGCCGCGCTGCATCGACAACCGGGCCACCATTTCCTTTTTCGGTGTCAGAACCGTTCCTAGTGCTAACTCTCGTTCCATCCCGGTTTCGTCGCTGTGGCCAGCGTGTAGAACTCGAAGATGGTTTCCAATAGCTTACCCCAGGGCTGGTTCGACGCCCGCTGTCAGTTGATGACCAGCGATCGAAAATACGATCATGTTTTCGTAACTCGCTGGCTGACCTCCAAAATATTGTGGTACAGTAAGATGTCTGGATTCATTCCAACCTCTCCCTTGGTTAATGCTCGGGAGCGTTTCAAATGGCGTCCGGAACCCCCTTTGATGCCGTTATCAATTGCTTCCGACCCCGACCTTCGGGAATGAAATGCGCATTGATCATCGTTATGCTTCATCTCTGCTAAGATAACGGACGAGCTTTTATTACTGCGTGCCATGCGACCTTGACTTTTCTGTGGCTTTATAAGTACCTAAGCCAAGTTGGCCAGCGTCACAACGGCGTACTGGTAACGAAATAACGTTTGTTGTGTCGGTACCACTGTCTTTTGGGCTGGCAGGCCACGCTCTCGTTGGTCTTTCGTTTTCACCTCTGTCGTCACTGGCTGAGCAGGCTAATTTGGATGATCGTCGTTTTAGCGGGCGCCTCCCCTTCCTCGCTTACACTGGCGGGCTTTCTTGGCGTAGGGTTCAGGAGGTGGGTGTGCAGTTACTAGTGATCGACCGAGCTTCTTCATGAGGAGGGCACAGTGACGGGGGGATGAAGCCAAGCGTTCGGTGCGTGCCCTATCCTGCCCTGTCTGGTCAGCTTCTCCAAGCAGGTGGTTCAAAGCAACAATCAAGATTCTCGGCCCGCGAGTCATGAGCATCATGGTTGGCGCGTATAAGCACACCGGAGGTAGCTATCAGATCCCTGACTGCGGAGGCAGACAGGGCAGACGTTCGAAGGGTCTCATCTGAAATCCAAACCGACGCCAGGAATTCGAACCTGCCGCTTTGAGGAATATTTGACCGGCCTGTGGGCGCGTCAACGGTTTCCTCCAAGTGTGAGCACATAACGTTGCGGACTAAAAGCTTGGCGAATGATATTGAGACATACAAAACAAGACAAGCCATCCAAGACCGCGTGTGTCAAACTTTAAGCGACCACACGTGCCAAGTCCCTTTCGTTGCTTTTTGCCATGCGATAGCAGCCATGCCGCTTTCAGCCACAGCTGAGTCGAGTCATAACTGACTGATGAAGCCTTATGTCAAAATGGTGGGCATTTGTCAATTCATCCACATCCCTTTGCACCAGCAGTTCAGGTGTCAGCATCCTCCATGCTGGTTGCTTACATTGATCGAGTTGTAAACGGCCCGGAATTGACGTTACCATGGACAACTTTCTCGCATTGGTCATGTTACGACACAACCACCACCAGCATGAAATGCATGATATGCATGGTAGGATTGTTTTGCGTGCTGTACTTTATTTTTGCTGCTAGTTCGATCGCCTCAACTAGAACCCACGGTTGTAATCCAATTCCGACACCTGGGGTGATACTGATTGCCAAACTCTTTTCGCCAGTTTCTTGGTTGATGAAACTGACATCCCCGTATTTCCCAGTTGTAAGTTAACTTCTTCGTCCGTCATCTCTGTTTTCCGGGGCGATCTGGTCTTCATCGATATTCGGTAGCTGGTATTAACTCACATCGTGACGGCACTTCTGAGGCACAGTCGGCTTTGCCGTCAGTGGTCTGTGTGATATTGCCAGTGATCAGCGGGGTATGGTATACCAACTATCCGTTGTAGATGAGAAACGAAACCCTTGGAATTACCTATCAAGATCAAAGCGAGGTTCTGTATTAGTGCCTCAGCTTGGGTAATCTGTGTGGAGGCATGATAACTCGTGTCAAGACGGAGAAAGCATAAAATTCCTGTATCTACAACTTTGTGACAGTGACGTAACAGCTGACAGATATCTTTTGCTCAGTAACAAACCCTTCACTAGTCTTCCGATGGCGAGTTATCAGTATGCGACCTAAGTAGACATGGTTGCCGATGGTTATATGGTGGTGTATTGTACCAGCAGGGAGAATGCATGACCTGGTATAACTGAGATAGGGCGAATCGCGAAATACGGGCTGTCCGGACTCAGCATTCGAACGTATTCTACCTGGATGACGTTCGTGGTTAGCCTTGTCTTGCATCGAAACATGGCCTGGCAGGGAGTAATGTAAATCGATCCACCCGTGATACCTTGATCAAGTTCAATAGTATAGGGAGTAGGCTAATCGACCAAGCGCTCGGTTCCTCCGCCTGCAGAGAGGAGAAGCTGAAAAGGTGACTTGGGGACACGTTCGGCATTTGTTTCTTGAACTGTAGGGAACTATTATCATTTGACGGCACTCAAACAGATTGGCGCATTGCCTAGTTCCATGTGAGCGCGCACAGAACACGCGGATTACGTATGTAGCGAAATTAGGTTGGGTACCAGCCGACCGGCAAGCAAAGCGGGATGATGAAGTTGGTGGAATCAGGGTCGACATTCGAGGTTTTGATTGGTAAAACGCCTGTCGAAATTGCCAGGGTCAATTCCAGAACCTGTTGATGTGAGAACAAGGTTTTGGCTTGAAGAAAATCTGTCGATCGGTACGTCCAACCGCACGAGTTACCTAATGCGCCTAGTCAGAAGATTGAGTTAGGTACCTACCTAGGTAGGTAGCAAGTATAGGGTGACCCAACACAAGAGGATTTCCATGTTTGATGAAAGGTGAAGGTGAAGATAAAAGCGAAAGCGAAAGTACCCACTATTCAATCACTCCGTACAGAGACACACCGCCCAGTGTTGCCTGCCTTCTGTTCCCCAACTAGAACGTGCATCGACTTCTATAAGGTGCACGGTGAGGATAGAGGATTGAATCATGGGATTGCATGAGATAGCTCTTTCCCATCATCAACACGGACAGCACCACAGCCAGAAAAAGATGCGTGCAGAAATGTCGCTCGACACCTGCCTACCTGCCGTAGCGTAGGTACTGTAGGTGGCATGTCGTAGTGGATCGTACCTCAGGTGTGGAGGCAGTCGCCTACCGCTTTAGCACAGTCTCGTTGACAGTTGCCCGAACATTAAGCGAGCATTGCGCCCTGAAACGCTTGGAGGAAGAAGGAACAAGCGCCTGTATTGTTACTACCTAAGTTTGAAACTGTTCTGGGTGCCGAGTACCTAACGAGAGCATCAATTAATCGCGCGTCCAATGTCAAAAAGCTAGATCGTTTTTGCGCGATACGACAATTGACATCATATTTTCTCATTTCCAAGCTGTTGGGCCTGATTCTACACCGAGATGGTCATCCATGGCCCAATTGACACTTGCTCAATCGACTACGCCATTGGTGGCCGCGAAGCCCAAGACGTGATGGGATGTCCCTTGGCGAAAGATATGAGCCCGTCACGATACGGGGGTTGAAATCTCATCAACACGGGCCTTATAACAGCCTCGCAGGTACCGCAATTCTCCTCAATATCATCAGTCCGCTTATCCCGCCCAAGTCAGACGACACAAGCCCCGTCGACAGCCACTGTCAAGATCGTCCCCAGTGCTATCCGACCACCTCAATCACTGTTGTGACCCTTAAAAGTGCATCTCCCCGTTGCACGCCAGGTAATGAAGTATCGAATCGCTAGACGTGGCCGATATGCGCTGCTATGCACGTATCTGTTCGCATCGACAACCCTGACGGATATCTCCGAGCTATCATTGGCCAGTGCCCTCCAAG